ACCCTGAGGTAAAAAATAAAAATCTTGATTGAACTTAGGAACAGAAAGGTTGTTGGTCTTTTCTGCAATTAAACTTTATTTCGAATTTAGAAATTGGGAGAGCCTAGAATGCTGAATTCTCTTCTGTGAAGGCATGAATTTAACTTGAAAATAAAAATATTCTTAGCCACAGGAACATGAGAGAACTGTATCACGCCAGAGTTTACTTGAAACCATAAGCTTCCAGCTCAAGAGAGACATTCTGTTACAGTGTGAGACATGATTCTGTCTTAACTCCCACTGAAGACCTCATTCAAACAGATCTATAATCCCATATAATAAAAGGCTAACATACAAATTGTCCCCACGAGTGGGAGTTCGACTGATTGGAAGTTAGATGTGTGCTGACCACCAGGGGGTGGCGCAGAACATGCCGGGCAGCAGCAATGTGGTGCTGGCAGCAGGCAGCAGTCGAGGTACTGCCAGCCCTGATGGGCCCCTACAAGAACAGGACAGAGGCAGGATGGTGGAACAGGTGAGTGGGCAGCGCCAGGCCAAGGTGGGTACCAAGGGAGGCCCTGGCTGGCAGCGGAGGCAGGCAGCCGGGTGAAGGGAGGCCCCGGCCGGCAGCTGGCAGCCACTAGGGACTTGACCTGTGCATGAATTTCGTGCACTGGGCCTCTATCTACTATAATGCAATCATATGGCATCAACTCCAAAAGCAGCAACATAATATTTAATCAACTGAAATCCTGCCAACTAAGACACTTCCTTGTATTAGTTTCAGCACAACTTTCAGGAAACCTAGTTATTACAAAGTAAATATCTATAAAATACTATTCTCTCTTTCATGATATTACTTCTATAAACATAGATATTTATATCACACAGTTAATATTTCTATTAGTTAGTTTTAAGTTTCTTCCTAGGGAATACTTCTTAAACACTATTACTAAAAAATAATTATGTAAAAATAAATATAGAATAAAGTACAAAATGCCTTTAAAAACATTTATATGCTCAGAAACATATATACATTTTCCAATCAAAATGCATGTTGCAGTAAGGTGACTCCAGCTAAAATTGAAGTTTATAAATTCTTTCAATAATGTTTGGGAGATCTGAAAGATTACAGAGATATAATTTTATGAAGATGCTTCACACATCAGCAACTTCTCTAATATGGAAGCCAGTAAATTTGCTTTGGAAAAAAGTACATGTTGATAAATCTTCCCAGATATGTTTTCTGTCGATTGCTACTGTAAGATATATTTTACTTAAAATTAGGATTGTCTGGAGTTTGGTGGATTTAATTATTTGTAATTACCCAGCTGTTGTCAGCCTGTGGCCATTATGACAGCGGCATCTACTATGTGGGTCAGGTTCAACTGTATATCTTCCCAAACACAGGTTTAATGTGCTATTGATGAAACCATTACTAGAACCAAATTAAAGTCGGGGCTGATGTATTGGTCCACAGGGAGCTGTCAGACATGAAAGGAGTAATTAGTATTCATTACTTCATACTCCACAACATTCCAATTATTAATGAACTTCAACTTTTGGACTATGCTATATCTATCACAAGCATCTTCTCAGACATTCATTATTAGGAAGAATAAACTAACATTAGTTTTTTCAAAATCACCCCCCAAACAAACAGAACTAAGATAAATAAAAACACTATTAATAGCCGGAAACTTTCTGAGGTGCCTGCTCTCAGGAGTATTACTGTGTTATTCCACCTGCATTTGCGGAATATGATGCAATAAAGATATTCTGGGTCATACACCAGCTTTCAACCCCCAGGGTTTGTCTCCCCCTCTTTTTCTTGTTTCCACTACTGTTCTGTCTTTACAATGCAAAGGGAAACATAGAAAAAAATCAAGAAAAGTTTTCACTGTTGGAGATCACAACAGGAACACCTATTAGACAATTTACAAACATGTAGATTCGTATGGGATGTGATCCAGGTAAATCCAATTTTTTTCTGTTCCTTTTTTAACATTGCAAATGGGTTTCTATCTCTATTATCAAACAAAGCAATTCAACATTTTCCTGTTAATTTTATTTTCAATGTATTCTCCCAGCTTTTATTTGTTGCATTAAAGAAAAAGAATTCCTATTTCTACCAATCTAATACCCCCTTCTAGCTTGCATATGTGTGAGTATTTTATAAAGTTTCTCTCTTCTCTTCTTCCTCTCTCTCTCTCTCTCTCTCTCTTTCTCGTTGTTGTTAATCCTCACTCGAGGATATTTTTCCCATTGATTTTTATAGAACATGAAAGGGAATGAGGGAGGAGAACATGGATGTGAGAGAGACACATGATCGGTTGCCTCTCGCACATGCCTGGACCTAGTGGAGCCAGGGATCAGAGCTGCAACCCAGGTACTTGCCCTTGACTGGGAACTGAACCAGCAACCCTTGGGTGCACAGGCTGACGTTCTAACCACTGAGTAATACCAGCGAGGGCGTCTCCTTTTAAAGATTTACATGAGGGACCAAGAGAGCATTTGTTTTGTTTAAGCATATTTCTTTTTCAGATAAGAAGGATACAATCACTTCAATATCAAACTTTATTCCAAAGTACTTTTAAAGCTTTTATGAAAAAATTAGTCTAAAATTTTTGAGTGTCAATCTTTTTTCCATTCAAAAATAAGAGTTGGAAAAAAATAGGATGTAGGAATAGTTCCTCCTGGGAAAAGGTGGCTAGTATTTAATAGGTCTTAAATACGATTTCTTTTTGTATTATAAAAAACAGCAGAAGGGGGGAAGTCCCTACCTCAGTTCCCTGAGAGACTTCGCACTCCTGTGCACTACACATGAGCAGAGGAACCTGTGTCAACACTCTGGAAAACAGTGTGGCCTTTCCACGTCTCCACTATAGAACCAACAACCCCCTGCCATGCCACCATCTCACCAATGGTTCTGTATTCCTTCTGTTGTGTATAGGTCTGTCTTTCCCTGGGGAAATGTAGCTTCTTCCATGGCAGGATCTATACCTCATCACGTTTATACAGTGGCTGGCATACAGCCGTGCTCAGAGAGGTTTATTCAGTGGCTGGTAGAATATGTAAGCATCACTAGCACTCAGATTCTCTGGATAAAGATACTCTGAAAACATCTGCATGGGAGAGGGAAGTGGAAAAAACTGAAGCTACAGATCTGAAATTTACCCTCATACAAGTGGTTGTTCCCACACATAAGAGTTTAGGAGCTAGGACTGTTAAGGTAATAACTGCATACAATAATCAGAGTTTTTAATATTCTTTCATATCATTTTAAATTCTTTTAACCTTTAAAAAAATGCTGGAATGACATGATCAGCTCTATAAAGCCTAAAAGATATTCAGAGAGAGAGAGAGACAGAGAAAGATTGTCACCGACTTTCTTACACCTAAATTGTGTTACTGGAAGTCCAAGTTAAAGCTAGAGAATATGTATCTTACTGACAAAAAATGTTAGGTCTTCATATCAGAGTCAGAACCTTAATAACAAGGATTTCACTTTAGTGACATTCAAGATATTACACTATATTTTTAACACATCAGACACAGCTGCAATTATATTTATGTTAGAGTTGCAGTTTGTTAAGTGGCTTATTAGACTTTTCTAAATGTAAGTCTGGGTAAATTCTGGTTTATTAAACAATTATAAGTTGTCAGTCACTGTAAATGGATTTACTGGGTGAGATGTATAATATATTCTATACTCATTGGTTAGAGTCTATTTAAAAAATAGAAGTTAGTCACCTTTAAGCAGGCCTATTTCCACTTTAAATTGACAGGAATAATCTAGTGATGAAAAAGGAGACATACCTTTGAGAGAGTGGGTGTCAAAGAAGAAGAGGGTTGGGGAAGTTCTGAAATTACTCTTCTGTAAAGAAGAGGGGGGTAGGGGGGAGGGAGGAATGCAGTGAGATAAGTCTAGTGGATATTGGTTCTTCAGTGAAGAGGCACAAAAAGCTTTGGGATGCTATGACCTCCTGACATCCCCTGAGGCCATGCGGGCTTTGGAGACCTAACTGCGACCTCTGACCTTTCACACACTTACAGAAAAGGACCTGGTGAGTCCTTGGAAATGGTGTCACTGCCCCGGGAGAATGTCCTAGAGAGTGGGGTGGCCCGGGGGGAATGGCAGCATTTAGAATGTCACATGGGGGTATTCCCACTTTTTGAATGTATTTTTTAAATCCTCACCTGAGGATATTTTTCCATTGATTTTTAGAGAGAGTGGAAGAGAGACAGAAAGACAGAGAGAAATATTGATGTGAGAGAAACACATCGATTGGTGGCCTCCAGCATGTCGCGCCCCGACCAGGGCCTGGGCTGGGGAGGAGCCTGCAACCAAGGCACATGCCCTTGATGGGAATCGAACCCAGGACCCTTCAGTGTGCAGGCTGATGCTCTATCCACTGAGCCAAACCGGCTAGGGCTATTCCCACTTTTTGGTATTCCATCTCTGTGAAATGTTGGGGATGATTTTAGATATCCATTAATGAATTCTTTCTTTTAATGGTTATATTTTAAGTATATTAGAAAAAAAATAGAACTAGCACCGTAAACCCATAATTTTGTGGATGCTATTACTTGCAATGAGGCTAAGGATAAAAAAAAAATAGTGAGTAGATTTTAAATTGGTTTAAAGAAAATATTTAGTAAATAAGGATATAAGGGATTTGCAGTTCAGGCGAAAAAGGTAGTTTTGCAAAGTACTGAAGTTAGAGGAACATTGGTATACATTCATAAAGGAGCAGCTATTCGCAGAATTGTGGCAATGCAGTTCTTGTCTGTAAGTCAGGAACTGGGCAGCAAGAATCTGATCCAGCAGACACACAGTCTGAAAGTCTGGATCATACTGAGGTGGCTTTGGTCTTGGAATGTAGGTTCCCCGAAAAGTCAGAAACATCACCAAGAAGAATCCAATAGATTATGCCTGGTTATGAGGCTAAGACACAGAAGCTGATGGATCAAACTCATATGTAACACAAAATATATGTTAAAAGCTCAGCAATACTTACTTTCCTTTTCTAATCGTGTTCCTGCCGAGCAGTGGGTCAAGGACCGGATCTACCGTTTCCTCGAGGTTTTCAATTAGGATGACATCTCCAAAGGCCAGAGCCGTTTCAATGGCATTCAAAAACCTTTAAATCCGTCAGGATGGAGACAACAAAATGTGAGTAAGCACAGGGAAAACCTTCAAAATTATTTCTATTGAGTTATATTTTTGTCCCATTTTAAATGGGACAAATTAGAGAAAGCTATTTCATAAAGTAGTATTCTTCCTTAACTAGATGACATGGAAATTAAAGGTTAGGTTTTTGAAAGGGTTGAAGAGAATAAAACGGGGCGGAGAAAACTTATTGTGCTTAGCAGATGTCTTGCAGAAAGCTTGCAGCCTTGAACACCGCATAGCCTAGGTAACCACTAGCCACCTGGCATCGGGAGGAGCCAAGGATGGACGGGGTCCTTCCAGCAGCAGAATGGCTTGCAGCCAGCAAGGATGAATAAAAACCTCTCCCCCCCCTCAATCTCCGCTGATGCCTTTGTCGGACTCAGCCCACCTGCACCCAGGTGCCTGAAATAAAAATCTCTTTTGGTACATTATGGCCTCCTGTCCTAGGTGTGCAACCCTGGCCCACTTGGAACCTTTCAGTTTTGAGATAAATTTCAGTTATATTTTTCAAGTGAAATTCAATAGTTTGAATTAATAAGCCCACAATTAATTAGTTCCTTTTGATGATAATCATGGTTGAACTAAATAAAACTATCCAGACATCGTAAGTTTAAATGTATTTGATAGGACCTTTTTTAATTAAAGAAATTCAAATTCTATCAAATGTCCTGTGGTTTTATCAACTGTTCATTTTTTAAATCTTTAGGTTCAGTCATGTAAAATGGTGAACTATCATTTTATTTCATTCCCATTCTTCAAAAACAGTCTCTCCCCTTCGAAATTCATTTTCTCCAAATATTCAGATGAGCAGGGAAGACATTTATCTGCACAGTTGCAGATATTCCTTATTTCATTTCACATGTGAAAAGATGATGGAGGACTCAAATAAAATATCAGTAAGTCCAAAATTATTCAACATTAACTGAACACCAGCTATCTACAAGAGAGCTTTCCACTTATCAGATAGTAATAGCAGGCCCAATAACAGAAAATCTCAGAGTAGATTCAATTCTCATAAGTGACAGATAATACTTGACTAAGAAATCCAATTATCTTCACATATTCAGTAGTAGGACTTAGAGCCATGTTAAAACCCTACTACAGGCAAAGAGTACATATCATTAAGCCTGTAGGTGCAGTTGACAATTCCTGTGCTATGCCAAATGCTCTAAAGAAGGATTACAATACAGCACATTTCCAGGAAATTGACATATTTTCCCTCTCAAATGCAGGGTTTGCTCTCGCCTTCCATCTGATTTCCTCTTCAGGTAAGTGGGTGCGGCCCAACATAAATGCTTTTCAATAGAAAGACTTTACATGAAACAGGATCAGGCAGACAACAAGTACCACCAGACTGTCACATTTTCAAAGTGGCAGCGAGGTCTAACAAATGCCAGGACTTAAATCAGACCCATTTCACAGCAGCTAAACAGAAAGCCAGTCTCTCAGACTTCACATACCCTTTCTGGCCCAAATGTGTGACTTTCAGGTCCGTCCCATACTTATTCTTGATCCACTTAATTCCCTGTTGCTGGGGATCTATCAGCAGGGGCCAGCGCTCACAGTGTGTTAGGATTGTGGCGTTTTCGGTTGACATTCTGTCACTGGGCAGGCCTTCGTTATTCCAGGCGGCAATGGTAGCATCGTCCGTCAACATGGCAATCAAATCCCGGCCTTCAGTTATTGGAATGGAAACCTTTACAATCAGAGTTAAATGCAATGCATAAATAGTGGGGCAGAGCAAAGAACTCAGGATGACAGGCAAGGAAAGAGACTCAAACTAAGAGAAGGCATGCAAATTCTCTGTGGACTCTGAGAAGCCATGAAACTCTCACCATGAAATACAATTTGAGCCCATAAAGCCAGTATTTTACCTCTTAGGATTCTGTCAATATCTGCTTTATGACTGCCTCTATCTGACCTCAAGGGACTTTGCCCTCTACATGCATCTACAGCTACTCCAACAAGATGAGCGTGAACTTAGACACCAGGAAGTACAGTCAATAACAGAAATGTATCTGCCCAATGGCGGGATCGCCCCACGTAAGCCATGCCAAGGCGGGACATCTTGCTCAGACATTTCATCTTTTACTACAGGCCAACACCAAAGGAGATGACATCTCCTTCTGGGATGGGTTCATGGGATGCATTCAGTCCATCAGCTTGCCGGCTGGGCCCAGGAACTTAGATTACAGTCTCTCCTCTGCCTACACTGTGATTGCGAAAAGCACTGCCATGGGGGAGCTGTGCTCTTAGAGAGAGAGAGAGAGAGAGAAAGAGAAATCCGTTTTAAAGAACAGGGGTCATTCTTTATAAAAATGGACCAATTTTACCAAAATTTAACAAGATCATGGAAAGTAATTTATTCGTTGTGTCATCAATCACTAAGCATTTAGTGAGCACCTCCTGCCCATAAAACACTGTCTGGAGACGCCAAAGTGGGCAAGATGGAAAAGGAGCTGGTCCCCAGGCTTGATGGCAACATGACTCCGTAAGAGATTACAGGAAGAACCCAACTGGGAGTAGGCAGGGGAGGCCAGAGCAGCGGTCGGAGTTTGATTTATTGGTTGGCCACAGAGCTCCAGTAAACTAAATGCTGGGGAAATCCCCACAGCAAAGCTAGGATGCAATTTGATATCAATATAGGAAAAGTAGCACAATATTCTTCCTGTTCCTGACTACAATGTTAATTTAGAAGTAAACTCTGTCTCCTAGTGATATGAACACTAAGCCTTGGTATCTGACTTGATGCAGTTTCCTTAAAGATGCAAATAAATTGGTATCTTTTAGAATGAGCATCTTCCTATTAGCCAAGGATGTGTGGCTTTAAATTCTCACCTTCTACCACCACCCTCTGGGCTACTCTTTGGAGGGAAACAATTCTGGGTAACATGTAATTTGGATCTTCAAGGTCACGTGTGCCCACTGCCCCTGTCCTTTTCAGCTACCGCCATGCCAACTGGTTTCCTCCCTATCCCGTGCTCCAAGCTCGTGCCCCTACTGTTGCAGTTTCTGAAAACCTTTCCCAGGTGCCCTGTAGTTGCCTAGTCCTATTTGGATCAAACTCCCTTGCTCTCTACCTGTGTGTCTTACCCAAAACCCACATCTCCCCCAGGGCCGTGGCTCTCAACCCCAGCCTGCATATTAGAATCACATAAAGTTCTCAAAAGCTGTCAACACCCCGTATTTTTTTTTATTCTCACCCAAGAATATGTTTTTTATTGATTTTAGAGAGAGGTGAGCTATTTTTTTAAAAAACAATATTTTTATTGACTTCAGAGAGGAAGGGAGGGAGAGGGAGGGAGGGAGGGAGGGAGAGGGAGAGGGAGAGGGAGAGGGAGGGAGGGAGGGAGGGAGAGAGAGAAAGAGAGAGAGAGAGAGAGAAACATCAATGATGAGAGAGAATCATTGATCAGCTGTCACCTGTATGCCCCACACTGGGGATCGAGCCCACAACCCGGGCATGTGCCCTGACTGGGAATCGAACTGTGACCTCCTGGTTCATAGGTTGACACTCAACCATTGAGCCACACTGGCCGGGCTTAAATTGAGCTATTTTTATACTTATGTACAAAATGGTATACTTCTAATCTGAAAGTAGTCATGCAAAAAAAAAACACAAAACACAAAATACAACAACACGTTAACAAATAACTCATATTAGTAAGAAAACAAAAGGTTTCATACTTATACAATAACATCATAATCCAAATTTTATTTCCGTTACCAGTTTGGTTTATATAATTAATTTTCATCTCTCTGTTTGGCCATCATTAAAATAAGAAAAACTGCAACACACAAGGAACATCTCCTTCCCACCAGAATTCCCAGGCAGTTACTGCTGCAGAGGTACAAAAGCACCTGGTATATATGCACTGTTTTCACTACTGAAATTTCAATGCGATGCTTCCAAATGCTGACAAGGAAAGGAGTGAGCTTACCTTTCGCTGAAGAAAGGGAACCCACTTGCAGTCCACCAGCTCCTGGCGATACTGCTTCGTGAAGGATCCGACGTAAGACACAAAGGCTGCCATCAGGAGAACATCGCCACAGAGTGTCTTCTCTTGAGCTTCAAAGGATTGTATAGACTGACCCCAGCGAATCTTCTCTGACTGAAAGATAAAATTACTCAGTTGTAACTGCAGGGTGAGCATCGACTCAACAAATGCTTAATGTAATGGCCTGGGGGCACAAGTTAAGCCTACGTCCAGTCCTTAGCAGGAGCAGAGCAGAACTGGTTGGATGACTACTGCAATCGTTCACGTGTCTGAAACCCATGATTCTGAAGGAGCTCTCACACTCTCTTCAGTGGAGTTACTACAACACAACGTGAGATCTGTAACATCTTCTCAGGTGCCCTAACTCCTTCACTGTGATTGAGGTCCTTCAGGAAAGGTTGACGACAGTCACACTCCTGTCCGCCTGGAAGTGGAGGATCAAGAGCTATGGCCAAGGCTGAGTGATGTTAGGATGCTTAATGGCAATGTGGCTGCTTTCCACATCTCCTGCTTTTCAGCCATGGCCCTACACTGCCCCAGGCCAACTTTCTTTTTCCTTTAACATACTTGCTGTTGGCTTATTTTAGAAAAAGGAAGATGACAACCACTGATGTTAGTTAATTAAAACGTAAGGCTTAAAGGACCACCTATCCTGAATCCTATTAATTGAAGAATAAGTGCTGGTAGTTTCTAACAAAATCACTTGATCAGTGTCAGAACCTATACCACATATAAAAACATGGAAATCAAAGAACTTCACTAGCCTTGAAGACAATACACTCAAAGAATGCTGTTGAAGTCCTTATAGCTGGTTGGATGACCATTTAAAATTTGATTTTCAGGTTAAGTGTGTGGAGCCCTTTGAATTGGATTTGAATAAAATGGCAGTAAATATCTACAGATTGATTAAACTATAGGATAGTTCACTAATTCACTTTGTTTCAATGCATGCTAAAAACAAATACATTTTAAGCTCATGCAAATTAACAGGACCTAGAAAAAAAATCAGCAATTTGATAGCACAAGCAAAGAAGATCCCTGCAGAATTTAGCTTTTTTTTTGTGAAAAAAAGAGACGGACCACAGAAAACAAAAATGATACATATCAGAATAGATTGGAATGCCAGTTGCCTGCAAACCATCATAATGCCCACAGCACTGAGATCATGAAATGAACAGTTGCAAATGTTTTTCAAAGCTATGTTAAGATAGTCTCCCTGCTTTGCTTAATACAGGTCACCCCAAGTTAGCTATAACAATTAAACACTAAGGAACTTCAGCTCTCTATCCTCTTTATAGAATTCATTCATTTCCCTCCTCAGCTGCTGACAATAGATCCATTAATTTTGAAGAGGAATCTCTCATTTGCCTTCCCTCCATCTTTGTTGTCTTTGGTTAGTAAATGTTAAACAATAAAGTGCACCTACCTCATTCTCCAAAACAGCTTTGAAGTTTGAAGATTTACTAAACAGAGACTTATTGGCTACCGAAATCGTCAATAATTTCACTATACCACCCACGCAACATAAATCATTACTGACACTGGCTAACAAGGGTTTAAGAGTTGGAACATGTCCTCTAATAAATTTCTAGACAGTTAAAAATCACTATAATTTTATTCTAATGCATTATAGATTGCCTGTAATGTCATCCTGGCTGGGGTGACCCAATTTCTAATTTTGAACAGCTGTTCAGCTCAGGAGTTAGTTAATGATTAAATATAAATTGCCTGATTTATTAGTCTGAATGGCTGAGCTTCCAGGTCAATGCTATATAGACAAAATCATCAGTCTTGATGCTTTTCAGAAGTTAACTGTCTCCTGCTCTAGTCAGAAAGAATTTATCCTCAAAGGAAAAGGTCTGGCATCTTCGATTAATCCTTTAAATATATACATATGTGTGTATATATACATATATATTGCTAGTTAATACTGGTCAAACTTTTTCCCTCCCCTCATCTAAATCTTTAAGAGTAACTAAGGCCTTTGGAGACAATGCTGTGTGTTGGAGATGCAGGGTAGAGCCTGCTTCACCCTCCACAAAACGTTCAGACATCTGTAACTACCTCAGGAAAACAGTCTAATTAAATGGCAAAACGTTCAGACATCTGTAACTACCTCAGGAAAACAGTCTAATTAAATGGCACTTCTTCTTTTCTTCAGATACTTCACAAGTGGTGAACACTTCAAACTGCTTAAATCTCACCACGTTAAATGGGAGAAGTGGTGAACTCCAACAGAAGTGGTGGAGTTTCTCAAATGACCTAAGAAAAATGAGTCTTCAAAAGACCCCAGATTTTTTTTTAACATAGGAGGCTCCCAAAGCTCACCCATTCATTCCACAAATATCTACTGATGCCTATGACGTTCCAGGGACCGTGCAATATGCTCGGGATCAAGCCGTGCAGAAAACAGGTGAGGTTCCTATTCTTGAGGTGCTTATATGTGTACATGGGTAAGTGTATAGGTCATGTGCTGATCAATGCTATGAAAAATAATAAAGCAGAGTAAGAGTTGTGGAGCGGGGTGTGCACAGGGTAGCAGGTGAGAGAGCAGAGAAAGCCCTGTGATAAGGAGAACTTTTAGCAGAGCCGGAAGGAAGTTGGGGAGCCAGTGATGTCATCATCAGGGGGAAAAGGTAAGCCACGTGGAAGAAAAAGGCAAAGGACGCAAAGTAGGAAGAGCAAGGCCGGTGAAGTTGGAGCGAGAGGGAAGGTGGCGGGTGTGAGGACAGGAGGTATCCCGGAGCCAGGTCATATACGGCCTTGCAGGCCAGGGAGCGCCTTTGGACTGCCCTTTGAGTTAGACAATTAGTTATTGGAGAATTGTGAGACAGCAGTGACAGGAACGAACTTAACTTTTTAAAACATCACTCAGCTGCAGTGAAGGGAGAGGACTTCAGGGGTGATGGTGGAAGCGAGGGCGGTACTCCAGGGCAGAGATGCTGGCGGCCTGGACCAGCACGGAGCGGCGAGGGGGATGAGGATGCGGGGGTTCTACATGGGCTTTGAAGGTAGAGCCAATACAATATGTATGCTGTGGGTTGGGTGTGGGACATGAGAAAGAGCAAAAAGTCCAAGGGGATGCCAAAGATTTCGGCCCCAACAACTGGAAGAACAGACTTGGGCTTCTTGAGATGGAACGGAGAGTGGATTTTGCAGAATGAACTATGAGGGATGATGGACTTAAATTTGTTGTGGTGTTGTTGTTGTTGTTTTTAAATTAGATTTTTACTAGTAAAAAGTCCAGTATAATTATAAGTTAGGCTATCCCCCAGTTCAACTGACCCTAACACATTTCTCCCTTCTTTCTTGCTAAGAGAACCCTGATTTTGAATAGGGTGGTGAGGAGTCCAGCTCCATGTGATGAACTTTGATTGGCTAAGCCAATCACCATATCCCCATTTTCCTATTTCCCAGCCTTCTTTGCAGCTACCTGTGGTCAATCTAGCTCTGGCTAGAGAAACTTAAGTGGAAGTCTGCCAAACACATTCCTAGGAAAACTTCAGTTTTTCGTATAAAAGGACAAAAATCCAGCTCTGGCCGGGTGCTCGGTTGGTTGGAGCATCATCCTATACACCAAAAGGTTCCGGGTTTGATCCCCAGTCGGGGTGCATACAGGAGGCAACCAATGGATGTTTCCTTATCTCTCTCTCTCTCCCTTTTCCTCTCTCTCTAAAATCAATAAAAACATATTCTTGGGTGAGGATTTAAAAAAAGAGACAAATTCAGCTGATACAGATTAGGCTCTCTCCTGCCTGAATCTGAGGTATAACAGCCTTCTGTGACCATGATGCAAAATGCATGAGGGTGAACGACCACCTGCTAAGTGTGGAGAAGCAGAGGGTACAGAGATTAGGCGTCTGGTTGCTAATTACCGGAGTCAACACTGACAATGCCTGCCCTCTGGAATTTTCTGTGATATGTAAAACAATTAACTTCCATTTGATTAAGCCACTATAAACCAACTTTTCTGTTACTGTCAGCTAAATACAGTTCTAATAGTGCAGTGATGTACTTTTGGGTAGTCCTAAAATAAAAATAATAGTTGTATTAAGATGAATTCAGACATGAAATTCATCCTTTAAAGTACACAATTGGGTGGGTTTTTAGTGTATTCACCGACTTGGGCAATCATCCTATCTGCTTTTAGAATTAGCACATCAGTCATCTCTAAAAAGATGCCACAGAGAAGATCATGCAGGCTTAATTTGAAGTAATGTTCTGATGGTAGAATTCAATTTAAATGTATATTAAATGACTCAGACAACAGTTCAATGGCACTGTAACCTAGCAGCCGGCCTGCGTTTATAACATATTCAGGAAAACCACTGAGTTCATGGCTATCTACTAAAAAATACAGAGAATCGTCACTTCTTACTTTGGGTAAGTTAGGCTCCAGTATGAAAGATGATAAGATATTCTCCTTCATGGTTGATTCCACATCTACTTAGTTATTACCGACAGCTAATAAAGACAAGATCCAAAAGAGCCGATCTGCATATTTTAGGTAGAATCTGGGAAGAAAAGGTGAACTTGCCTCCAGTTCCTTGACAAGTTTGTTGGCCAGTTCAATGGTTTTGTTTGTCTGGTTCACCTCTTCCTGGCACCGAACCTTCTCAGCTATTGCCTTTTCAAACGAAGCTGTGAGTCGGCTCAGATTTCGATCCAGATCCTGAATAAGAATCAAAATGAACTTCTGAGCCATTTCTAGATATTCAAGATGAAATATTATAATCACCTTAAACCATCCATTACCCTGCAGCACATGAAACAAACCATCCTTTGTCCCTTTTGCAGACGTGTTAGGGAAGGAGCACCACCACAGACCGCCAGCTCGCCAGGCGGCCTTCACGCCTGCCTCCCACCCTGAGCAGAGGGCAGCCAGCGACGGCGTGCATGGATGTGCCCTGCAGGCTCAAATACACCCTGGGTGCACTGTCCCCTCTCTCTTGTACCTAAGCCTTATCCTCTTTTAAAATAAGGATCGTCCTTTGGTTCTCCATGACGAGGGGGAAGGGTGTTAATGATGGAGTCCCTTCAGACCACTGACAATGTATACGTGTGATCTTCACACCATGATCCCAAATCTGCGTTCCTGAGCCAGGCTTCGCTCTCAAACCCCAGGTCTGACCCCAGAACACCCAACACGTGGGTTTGCTGCACAAAGAGAGTGGGGACTGCCATGTATGGCTGTGGCCTGTGCAACAAACAGCATTTTGATACATCAAACAGCACCTCGAGACATCAGGATTCTGAGATGGGAAATAACAGATGTCAGCTAATTTTAGCTAACGGGAATTTACTGGAAGGGAAGCCGGGGGGGATGGGGGGGGGGGCTGTGAGGAGCGAAGGAAAGGCAGAACCACGTGCAGACACCCTGGAGCTGAGTGCTGGAGCAGGAAGAACCTGCAAGTCTCACCGGGGCACCATCCCAGGCATGACCTCTACTTTCACTCTTTTTATTCTTTTGCTCATGACTCAGTTTTAGAGATGGAGGGTCCAATTGGCGAAGCTTGGATGATACATCTAGACTTCAGCTAGCAAAGCAAAGGGCACCCCTGCAAAAAGCCCCACCTGAGTGTATCCAACAAGGAAAGATGATTCCCCAGAGATAAACCTGGGTTCTCAGTGCCCACCTAGAGAGGTAGCTGTTATGATCATTACTTCACAGATACTAGACTGAAGCTCCGAGGGCTCCCCACGTTGCCAGGGTGACAGAGCCTCCTCACTCTGACTGCTGTCTTGTCAGGCATCTCACTCGGATCATCTCTGTCCTGCATCTCCGCCCACCCCCCCCCCCCCATCCAATCGTCGTCCGCCAGCCTCGCATCCGTTTCTCGCTCTCCATCTGGCTGCTCTGCTTACCTGAGGCCCTAACAGGACTCGCGGCCGCGCCTCTGAACTTGTCTGTCTCCTCTAGACTCCTCTCTCCCCAGGCTTCCATTCGGTTGCTGAAAAGCTGGTTTGATCATGTCATTAACTAAGAGCCTTCCCATGTACCAACTGCTCTCTTCTCTCTTTTCTCTATTCTTTACCAAGAATACCTCTCCCGGCCCAGTTATCCTGGTGACTCGCGAAGCCCAGGTCAAGCACAGCTTTATTACGAAGCTCACTCTCCTTTCTCCAGGCGCCGTACGGTTTTGGTGCTCCTGTTGCATTGTATGTATGAAGTCACATGTACACTTAGAACACTGGACTTAGAAGGACTGGTTACGTCTTTGTGAAAATAGGAGTGTTAATAATCTATGCAGCTGATACTCTCTAAGTCCGTATTGTGTGCCAGGTACCGTGCTACATTCTTAATAGGAATAACACTCATTTAATCCTCACAACCCTACCCTAGACCTGGATGCTACTATAATACCTACTGCACAGGTGAGCAAACCAAGGCTCAGCGAGGCTACCTAGCTTGTGAAGCGTGAAACGAGCAATGGTGGAACCAGGATATAAACCCAGGCAGTCTGGCTCCGGAGTCCCTGCTTTCAATCACATGCGTTAACCTCCTCCCCCTCCTCCCCCTCCTCCCCCTCCTCCTCCCAGACCATGAAGGTTTCCACTTTCCCAGTTCAGTGTCTGGCACTCGGCAGATAAGGAGCAGCTACGGAAGGAGTATGCAGATGAAGACAGAACGACAGATGGCACTTGCTTCGTTTGGCAGGGATCACACGTGGCCCTGTCTGAAGGTGGGATCCTAAGCGGGGAGGGACCCCCTCTTGGGAACGTCAGGGTCACCGTTTGTACTCACCACAAGCTTTTTCCTGAGCGCGTCTAGCTTTTCAGTAGCTGCAGCCAATTCTAAGTTCGCTTGGGCCAATGCTTGGCGTTTGGGCTCCACGTCACAGTAGACCTGAAATGGCACGTGGGGGTTCATTCATGAGGTAACGACCACGCAAAGACGACAAGCAACCATTCGATCCTTCCTCTGCTGGAGGCTTTACAATTAAAATCTCTAATTCACCAGCAACTGCTCACTTATTTCTTAGCAATGGGCCTCCCTCACGGCAGAGCAAAACTCCACACAGCCTTCCAAGTTCTCTCTGCTTGTCCACTATGTACGCACTTACTCTGGATATTAGAGACACAAGTACTTGCGTTAATGCTATGTATGTCAAATACCATGAATATACTAAAATTAGCTTGCCATAAAATTAGGAGCAAGTCCTCCGATCACGAGAAATTGTGGTATGCAGGAACGTCGTTGAAATTGGGAGCAAGCCTTGACTTTAGAGTGGAAGGTAACTGTGGGGGAGTTCTCTGGACCCAGAAAGTGGAAGACAGCCTCACACAATAGTAGCCACGCTGCTTTTACTTTCTTTCCTAAGTCCCTGGCAACCTGAAGTGTGTGTGTGTTTGAATGGGTCGTTTGAGAATTTAGCGAATCAATTTTTTTCTCCTGTTGGGGAGAGAGAAAGGCAATTAAGTTTTATAGCAAAACAACAGGAGCGCAGCCACAGTCTAACGGCACGCTCGTCTTTTCGCCTGCAGGGCAAGGAGCGCACAGGGTCAGGCGTTGTATTTCGGAGAGAGGCTGCACGTCAGTGGCAATCTGTCTAAACTCCTCTATAGACTTCCACTCACGAGAGAGAAAGCTCAACAGGGCCCTGTTCCGGCGGGTCCTCCGTATCCAGGACATAACCTGGTTTTATGAAAATCATTCTGGGAATGTCACTGACTACACTCGGCATTTCCTCAGTAATCCCAGTTTTGAATAGAACACACAACCTTCCAGGACAAAAGTGAGGTGGTTTTTCAGAGTGAAGGGCTGTGCACTGGCCCTTTTTACACCCAGTGCTCTGCAAAACGCTAGGGACATAGTTGGCTGATGCTCGGTAGTTGATAAATAAATGACTACGTGACGTGATCATCCTCTCTCTATATTGCCCAAAGCACAAACTTTAGATGAGACCATATTTATTAGGTTTTACGCCGCCGCAAGGAAAAACCGTGAGTCCAAACAGAGACCAGATTAAACAGGCTTTATTGGGAGCACACGGGCGGGTTCACCAGCTCGGAGAGGGGAGCAGGAGAAGCCGCGCCAGACTGGAGCAGGGGCAAGTTTTTATGCTGGCAGAAATTGGTGGCAGTGGGGGTTTTCCAGGGTCAGGTGAAACCTGCGGTCTGTCCTGCGGTTTTGGCCATTTCCAGGAGCCGTTTGTCTGGCAGGGACTTTCCACCGGGGTGGGGCAGTTTCTGGACGTCAGTGTGGTGAGGTCAGTTTCTCACCGGCCCAAAAGAAGGAGGGGGTCTTTTCGCCCCCGGGGCAGGGTGCCAGCGAATACCGGACAATATTCAGGCAAAAACCTACTTGCCATTACAATACTAAAACAAAACAAAAAATGGCAATTTCCTCGTCTCCCTACGCCTACACTAGAGGGTGTGAATTTTTGCTTTGAGAGCAGGGATTAAGTTTAACTGAACATGAATTCAGAAGTTCAGTTTTTTTTCCAAATCAAAATGAAATTAGCATTTTCACACAAATATAATTAATGTTTTCATCTAATCAAATCTAATTGCTGCTATTTGATCTAAAGTAGCTAATTGTTCTACCCTGAGGAAGACAGCTTCCAACATTTCAAGTATCCTCCTGCATAGAATTCTATTTAATCAGACCCTTTCATGTCTCATTCTTAGAACTTTATCTTAGATAATTTCCAAATTACATCTTTTTACTGGCCTAGGAATTAAGATATTGACGGGCCTTTGTGACTTCCACGTCGGACCGGAACGAATACCTCATAGAACTTGACGATGTTGATGACCCAGGCACAGAGGCCCGCTGCTGCGAAAGATTTGGTCCGAATCAGGCTGGGATTGAACTCCGGGTCTTTCAAATACTGTTCATTCACCACTTTTAGACAGTTCTCTGGAATGTGCTCTTTGTCGTAGTTAATTAACGCTTGCAAGAAATCATCAACCTGTAAAGCAAAAAGACTTACTGCAAAAACCCACTTTGGCTGCAGAGAAAATTCCAAGATCGAAAGTTAAAATCGGCTTTTAGGGCTCGCATTACAAAGGCAAAATTGGCAAGCCGCATTTATCCTACTGTTTGACTTTTTCAGTCTTTAGTGTATGGAGTTAGAATTAGCAATGGACACTTTTAAAATCTCTTCCATCCTGGGGTAAAATATTCAGTCCCTACACAGGAGGCCCTCACATTTTGAAAAAGAAATTCACATCCCCCAAAGCCCCTTTGCTTCACCTTCTGATACATTAGTAACATTTTTTTTTCAGCATAAGAAATCCATGTAATTTTCTTCCTCCTACACTTAGCTGCTCTCACAATTTCGCAAATAATTAGCAACCTCCCAATGGCTGCTGGTGTTGCCTTAGGGATGCTGGAACCCCAAGCTAACCTCCACCTTGGAGGTGTTTACAGATTCGAAGTCTAAAGAACATACAGCAGGTTACCCTCACGAACATGAAGATGGTTCCTTTGGATAAGAACCTCTTTTGCTGGCAAGTATAACCACAGTCCTGAGCACAGAAACGGGGGTTTTCATCCTGCCAGGCTGCCTGATACCTTTCCCATGAAGACTTTCGCGGCTTTCCAACTCCGGTCTTTTGGCACCCTGCCCCGGGGAGCCAGGAGGACCATCACAGCCGCAGCCACGTTGGTGACCGCGTTCGGAGGGTTGGGAAAGGCTTTCAGCTCGGTGAGATTGACCTGGAGAAAAGCACAGACACCGTGGAGACCAGGGGAGGCTGGAGAATGCCGGGAGCTATCCAGCTGGCCGTCCGTGGCCTCCGACCTCTCCCTTCCACACCAGCCTCGGCGGGGCAGTTCTCTGCCTCCCACCCAGGAATTCCACCTGAGACCCCAAGACGTTCAGTTCTGAATTCCACCTGAGACCCCAAGACGTTCAGTTCTCCCTGCGTACTTTCCTCCCTGATGCTCTGGAAACATCACTGTCCTTTTTGCCAAGAAAAACGGTTCATCTGGTATTCCAGTCCTACAGAGCCCTGCTCACTGAGCCAGGACATTTCATAAACATACAGGCTTTAAGGTATTCATGGGTTCTATCCCACCTATGTAACATATCTGCATTTTAACCAGGTCCCCTCAGAAACATGGTCCCTTAGTTCAGTGTCTCTCAGCTGTGATTTTCTGCTTCACGTGTACAAAAGCCATCTTCCGTTACACTAGGGTGGCTCTCGATTGGGAGGATGCCCATAGAGGTTTTGTCTATTCTGTACACTACTCCTTATTCTTCTCCTAGCAGAATCTTGATTTACCCAGCAGGTGGGATTAATGGTATAAATTACAAGTATAGGGCAAATACTTAGGAGCACTGGTACCTGTAAGAAACACATGTAGGTTCATGACACCTGATTTGAAAAAACAAGTACTTCCTATAGTCTTTCATGAGCTGCCTAATACACTCATCAAATGTTCAACCCGAGTCTGCGCCATTGCCATAAGCTGCCTATTTATTTGGGAAATGAATGCTAAGAACGGAAAGTAAGAGCAAAAGCAACAGAACTGGCTAACCAAGATCCCTCTGCATTTGCATGCTTCATCATCATCATTTACAAACACACTCAGCTTTATAGCTAAGTGACATTTATTTCTGCCTGGGTAAATAATAATATATTCAGAGAAAAATCTGCAGATGTAGACAAGCACAAAGAAGGAAATAAACATTTCGCGGTTCAAAAATAAAGAGGAAATCTCTCTCACATCTCTCTCTCTCAAATCAATAAACATATCCTCGGGTGAGGATTTAAAAAAACAAACTTTAAATTATTTTGAGGAATCCAAAAATCATCATCCTTACCCTGTTGAGTGTGTTGAGTGCAGCTGTTGCAGCCACCAGAGCAGGCTCAGCCTTGAGCAAGTCGGCCTCACACTCTTTCTGTTTCTGGGACACTTCGGTCTGAATGGCGGTCACCTAATCAGAGAGGAAAAGCACACAAACTCACATCATCACCTTAGGTATCTCTACTGAAAACACGTGGGCTGAGTCAGATGCACTGTTCAAGAATTCATCTGTCCACATCTTGAATAGGTGAGGGTTTGTCTGAAGACAGATTCCCCTTGGGCACACTGTCTATACAAAGCTTGGTACATGCACAAAACACACAATTCAGATGGATTCAAGTACCAAAGTGCTCCAAGAAGGGCTCTAACTGAACCGTAAGTGGCCACTAATAAGAAATACAAGATTAAGTGACTCCTCTTTTTCTTCAATTTCCTTTGCCAGAGAGTCCTGGGCAAGTGAAAATCCAGGCTGGCTCAGTAACCTACACCACAGATTTTCTTGCTAGAATTCCCCACCTAATTTTTGCTAACATTTGCCTAAAAGCCACATTAGCTCTTCTTTAGGAATAGATAAAAGCTTTCTTGTTAAAAGATACTGTTCTGAGCTGTGCATGCTTAGCCACAGACAGAATTTTTATAAAGACTAACTACCGGTTTCTCTAAGCACCTGGTAGGGAACCATGGCTGCAACAGTCCAGTTCTGCCTTTGGCAATGGAACAATGACTCTGATGTCCTCTCTCCTGCCGAGGGCCCAATGGCGGTCTTCACATGCCGAAGGGTGCTGTGTTGGCCTCAGGACATGGACACATGGAATACGGAATATAGGGAAACCGTGTGGGTACACTTGAACCAAATCCAAGTGGGAAGCTTTGGAGTTTTTATCCTCCTCCACGTAGGACACCAATAGAATCTGAACGGCCAGGGAGAGGACATTTTTAGTCCTCAGCAGAAATTGGAATGTCAAGGCTGTGGCGCTGGGCGGCAGGATCTGGTCGCCCTGGGAGATGGTTCCCGAGGGGACGGTGATTTGTGGAATGTAAAGTGTGAACAAAGTACATTTGCTCCGATGTGTTGGGAACGCACAGGTTTAACTATACCATAAAATTAAACACTGCTCACAACAAATTATGTTGTCTACTACAGCTTCATTAGCAGTAATTACCCGTCTCCTGATTAACCGTTATTTTGCTGTATACTGCACCTTTTATGAACATAATTGGTTCGGGGTAGATATGTGACCTCCTGCCAATACATACACAGCTACTGTTAATGTAAATAAGGAAACTCGGCATGCTCACCGAGAACTCCTTCAAAACCACAGCCCCCAAAACTGCCAGGAATGGACCATGAACATTCTAAGAAGGCTACATTTTCAGTGTGCTGGAGGATGCTGTCACAGATGAGAGAGAGCGTGTATTTGCCCGAGCGAGTTATTACATCAGTTATTTCTTTCCATAAGGGTATAATGAATCTGTAAGTGTGTGTTGTTACCATGTATAACAGCACCACTTTAAACTGAACTCGGGATGGCAGATTTTTAGTACCAGAAGAAACCTTAAAGCAGGGGTGGGGAACCTTCTTTCTGCCAAGGGCCATTTGGATATTTATAACATCATTCTCGGGCCATACAAAATTATCAACTTAAACATTAGCCTGCTCTATTTGGTCAAACATTTAATAAACTCACCCCTAATGCCTGGGCGGGGCCAGGCCAAATGATTTAGCGGGCCTTATACGGTTCCCCATCCCTGCCTTAAAGAGTTTTTCTTTAAGTGCTATTTCTATGATACTGGGAGTTGCTACTCTTCTCCTCTGACTCCTTTGCTGATAATGGAGTATTATTCCTTTGGGTAAAGTTTATAAATAGAGCAATCTTGAACACTTAATACATAAAAACCCACAAGTGCAAGTAAAAAGTACTAGAGGTTAACTTATTTCTCATTCCCAATACCTCTCACCCTAAGGTGCAATGACCCTAGAACACTGAACATGCTGCGTATCCTAGTGATCTGGGAAGACGTGGGGTGCAATTCCCTTTGGCCCACGGCTCCGGGGCGTGTCAGCCAGGCCCACCCTGGATAATGGCATAATGCCTACTGACTCAGTGGCTATGAGCACGTGGCAATTTACAGTTATTTATTAACTAAACCTTGATTATAATGGTCTAAAATAAGAGAATATACCTTACACACACATATATATTCATTCAATTTTTAAACAAATATTTATTAATTTTATGTTTACTTGTACTATTTCTTTTGGGAAATAAGATAGCAAAAGAAATCCCTTCCATTTGCAGCTGAAGTTTGGGTAAAAGAAGAAGACAAAAGAAGTTATATTTATTCCAGAATGGCTGGATACCTAAGTGCAAAGAAAGCAGATTTTATAGGAGCTTAAAAGTAATTGTTTCCAACAATAAAACATAATACAAAATGCCAGAGCCTCCATCGAATAAAAAAGAACAAATTTAGCTTAGGATTTAATAATAAACTCAAGTTGTATGATTAAAATGCAAAATTTGAAAACCATTTTGCAAAGTGACGGAATGGGCTTTGTTAACAATTGAGTTGTTCAATTTGCCTAAAAACTGAGACCCTTTAGAAACCTCAGAGGAGCCTTCATGACCTTTACTGTATTACAAATAGGCCTGATGTTCAAGATCCACATCCATTATATGCTTGAATGAGCTCAGTATTTATTGTTCTTCCATATCATTAAAGGAGCTAAAAGGTTGGGAAAATGCATAATGTAAAGAAAGGTCAAGTGGTAATCATGGTGTGAAATGCTGTTACATGTGTAACTATAATAATTCTCTAGATTTTATGCCCCTTGGAGAGGAAGTTGTTCAAAATTGTTCACCTACTAACGTTGATTTTGTGCTAAATATAGCTCGGTGCCCTAAATGGTAGAATGGGCCTGACCTTTTGCTCCTCGGCATCGGCGATGGCCTTTTCCCGGCTCACTTTCTCTGTCTGAAGCCCGATCTTGGCGATCAGAGCTTCAGTATCCTGATTTCTCAGTTGCAACTCGGCTTCCTGAGAGGCAAGTCTGGCTTTGAGATCTCCCACCTAAGGAGAAAAAGTCATTATTTTGAAGTAACACATATCAGATACAGCTTAGTTTTCTCAATGACGTCAGGCGTCCCTCGCAGTTTGTATACAGCATCTGTTTCTACTGAGTTGACTTCAGTCCCAGGTGTGAGAACACGGCCCCATCTCTTGCCATGTAGGAATAAACAGAATAATGTTTCCCAGTGGTTTTGTGGACCATATCGTTAATGTATGTCAGCACCAACTAGAAGTTTATCTTCTCAACTCATCTGGGCAGACAGAGAGGCACTAACAGTGGTGCCCACCTGAGCCCACTGCTTGCTTGGTCCTGTGCGGCTCAGGCTCAAGGCAGTAGAGTCCGGGGAAAGTTTGCTGGATGACAAGCTGGGAGGACCATGCTCTCCTTCTCCAATACATGGCAGGACACTTCAGACAAGTTAAAGAGGCCGATACTCCTTGGTCGTTCTCTGTTTACTTATCAGTTGCTTATTTTGATAGAAATGCCCACAGACTGGTCTTATCTCTTCCCACAAAGTAAGAAGTGGCCGATTTTTCTTCCTCTCATAGGACACTTGAATTAATACCTACACCACAAAGGGCAAACCGCAAGTGCCTGTGGGGATGGAAGGCCAGGGACTTTCCCAGATGTGAATTCTTCTTGGGGGTGGGGCACTAAATAACCTCAATCAGCTCCCGTGAAACTCAAGGCTTCCTGAGGCATCAAGTTTGTCTGCTTTAAAGAATGATTCTCCCACCTCTCCCACCTTTTACGTTGGGATTTCATGAGGTTCTGAAGGTACCACTGGGTTCCTAAGTTTGAGGACCACGTAAATAAAAGCGTAAGTGACGTGCTAGGGAGAAAAATGTAACTCGTGAAAGCAGCTTCACACATCATGATAGTTAGCTCTTTGTTCCACTTATTTTCCTGAAGTATAAATATTACTATTTTGTTAAAATCATAGAAGCCAAAAAGAACAATTATAACCATTTATCTTGACTCAATTGCTAAAAGCACTTTAGTGCTCCCATCGTGTGGGATGACATCTCCCTACCAGATGCAAGGACTCTGGTAACCCCCACCTCAGCACACTCTACGCACACTCTGTCTAAAAGCACAATTACCACTGCGACTACTCCCTGTACTATTAAAGTTACAGCCAGACTGACTCCTTAGCCTCTCTACAAAGTCAGGGCAACACTGCTTGATACTTGCTTTTCTGTTCTTGTTAGCCGTGTGAACTGGTCGTGTGTTAAGTCATAATCAACAGAATTATCCAAGGAGACCAGGAAGAAACTGTTATTTCAAGCCCTAATTTCAGTGTCTAAGGAAGCTATTAGGTCTGAAATATGCCAAGTGACTGAAGCCCTGGGTGGGAGGCCTTACCTACGAAGAAAGGTCACTAGGTTATCATGATGACCCAGGCGGACATCTAAAGAGGAGCATGTGGCAGTAAAAGGGAAACTATGGAAACGATGCTTCCTTTTCCAATTAAGCTGATAAAAAACAAACGAACTTGTAAGAACCTATTAAATATCCCAACCACTCTTCTGGTATTAAAAACATTACATGCTTAAATACCTAATGAGAAGAAATTGCCAGTAGGCCTTCCATCAACACTTTGTGCATCTTCCTCTCAGGCTTTCCGCCTGCTGTTTCCAGCTGAGGAGGAATAAGGAGACCCCCAAGCTGCCCTGCACTTGGCAGTGAACTGCTGGTGGCTTTCTTTCTCCCTTTCTCCCACCCCCTTGATTCATCAACACGTAACTGAGATGACGTCAGAAAACCACTCATCTTCTCTTAGCTCAACAGGACTCTAGGAAAGACTTCACTGGGGAAAAGGGTCTTGATTTAAGTGAGATAGTATTATCAGAGAGAGAGGCAGAGAATGAAAAGGTAAGAGAAAGAAGGCAATGAGAAAAGGAAATGTGCATAAAAAGGAATAGGAAAGAGTAATAGGAAATGTGCATAAAAAGGAAGAGTAAAGAAAGACATTCTTTGAAAGGGAAGGAAAAGATGCCCAAATATGGATATACTCTCTGGGGGCTTCCCAGAAACTACTCTGCACATCACTCGGTCCTGGAAACCGACCTGGAAACCTCTTCACTCTGTTTCTCTTTCCCAATAGGATTCTATCTCCTCAGGGCTCGGGACAGATCGCGTTTCCCAAAGAGCCATTCCTGGCATGTGCAACACAGAGGATAAGAGGCAAGTGATACTTTGGCCTATGGAGTGCATGAAGGACATGGCCAGAGAGGCCTTCAAAGTGAAGGTGCCAACATATCCTTCCGCGACCAGTTCGTGGCTTATTTTGAGCCTAGACACAGATGGGCTGGCTGCTCTACTCGGGGAAAAACTGACTCAATCTCTTGAAAACAAGAGTCTATGCCCTGATGCCAATACTCCAGAGAAACCACTGGAATTTCTGGCCTTGAGGTCACCCACAGTGACAACCCCCTCGATGCATGTTTCTCCAGCTCTCGGGCCCAGGTGGTTCATAGAAAAGCTGGGCCATTCTCCAGTCTCCACATGCTTCCATTCTAACGTCTTCTGACTGGCCACAGCACGGGCAGCACAGTACCATGGACAATCCACGGGCTTCAGGTAATACTGACCTGGCTTCAAACCCCCACCTTACAGGCTCTGTGGCCTTAAACTCTTTCAGCCTCATATGTAAAGTTACAGCACCAACACCCATGCCGTGAACTGGTTTTGTATTTAACAATGAAATCGGATAGACATGATTAACATGTGAATTCTTAATTCTTAATTCTAATCATTAACATGATTCCTATGTGAATTCTCTGATTACTCCTAGAGGTTAGAGGTACTGTCCTTCAAGTACCTCTAACCTCAAGGGGTCTTATGACTGAGGATGAAGGCAACACTGGATACTTTTATCTAAGAGAAATGGTGGCTAAAAAGGGACCAGACACCAAGATTTGTCTTAGGGACCCTAATCACATGATCAACCCTAATCACATCATCAACCAGGAAATGATGTCCTCACTGGGGGTTGAGAATCTGAGACCAAAATAGGTCCTAGTTCCATGGCAGGTGACATAATCCCTGACAATAAGCCCAGAACACCGAAGCAGTGGGGGAGAGGAGAGAGGAATCAGCTGTGCCTGTTCCCTTCAATATCTCTCTGTGGTCCTGCGCTGAGTCAGGCCAAGAGAGGGTGTCTCTCCAAACCATCAGTGATAGAGTCATTGGCTGGTCCCTTTCTAGGCTTGGGAAACCAGAAATAGTGTGTTCTTTGTGTTCTCGAACTGTAAAATTTTAGCATTAATTATCGTATCAGCAACCTCTCAGTGCATGGGACGATGCTCAACCAACAGAGCCACATCGGCCATGGTAGCATTAGGTATCCTATATAATAAAAGCCTAATATGCTAAGTGTCCAGTCGACCAGTTGGCCTTTCAACCAAAGAGTAATATGCTAATGATATGCTAAGGCCGCTCAACCGCTCACTATGACTTGCACTGACGACCAGGGGGCAGACACTCTGACCGGTAGTTTAGCTTGCTGCTGGTGTCCGGCCAATTGGGACTGAGCGAGAAGGCTGGACACGCCCTGGAGCCCTCCCACAGTCCCTCCCCAGGTTGGCCAACAACCCACATCCCTCCCTGGCCCCCATCGTGCACCGATGGGGTCCCTCAGCCTGGGCTGCACCCTCTTGCAATCTGGGACCCCTTGGGGGATGTTGGAGAGCCGGTTTCGGCCCGATCCTGCAGGCCAGGCCGAGGGACCCCACTGGTGCACGTATTCGTGCACTGGGCCTCTAGTCTTACATAAATGGTTTAAAATGTTGCTTCAAAAATAAATTTTTAAATAATGTTAGGAGCATAGGTGTCAGTAATAATCCACCCTGGTCATACCTGAGAGGCTGTGGTTTTCAGCTTCTGAATGCCATTCACCAAGTGCTCTTTCCTTTGGGATACCTCTTTTTGTTTCTTCTTCAACAGGTTCTTAAACAGGGATATTTGTTCTAGAAAACTCTTTGGGGTGGTATAGTTGTATCTTCTCTCATTTTGGTAATACCTGGTACTCATTTCATTGACGCTGGTGTGAACATGTGCCATGAACAAGCTAATAGCATCTTTGTCCAGGAGCTGAAAACACAAACATTGCAATTCATGTGACATTTTCTCATGTCAATACAAAACTGCAGGGGTAGGGGGGTGGGCTGGGAGAGGTCAATGGGGGGGGAGGAAAGGGGGATATGTGTAATACTTTCAACAATAAAGATTAAAAAAACCCTGCAATTTAAAAAAAAAGAAAAATTACCAAATTTATACAGTATTTTTCCCCCAAAAGCCAGAACAAATTACAGTAGAATCTAGGATCACTTCCCTAGTCTTTAAGAGCTACCCACAGGATTAGAGCGATGACAAGAAAAGGCAGTCAGCTTTGCTAACCTCTTCTTGACAATGAGGAAAGGATTTTTATGTGCGCCACACCCCAAACCCAAAACCAATGTAACACAAGCGCTGCTATTCACAGCTTGATTTGTATCTATTAAGTGTGAGAAAGACAAAAATGGAGAAACTGAGACACAGAACTCTGGGAAGTGTTTGTGGTGTTGCTTTCAAACTTAACTTTAGGCCAAGTAAGCCAACAACCCTGCAGTCAATGAAAAAAAGAAAGAAGAAAAGCTGAAAACTGAGAAATACAATTGTATAAGAATCCATGTGAAAACAAACGGATGGTAAGGTATAAAAGTCAGTGCTTCCGGGAGAAAAATATCATGATCATTTCTATTCTCATTTAGGGAGGAAAAAAACCCCCAATTAATTCTCCTTTGAAGATTTCCTGAAGAACCTTCCCCCCACCCCCCGCCCATGCACTCTTTGCATTTGTCCTCTATGACTTCTGAAGTAGTTAACTTTTTAATTTGTAGAGTCACATCTCCCTCATTTTAATGATTATTTATTGCATTCTGTACAAGATGAACCAGGTTCAATTAATCAAGGGAAGCCTAAAAATCAATTAATATGAATTAAATGAGCTACACCAACTCTCAGGAAAGTCACACATAATTTACCAAAGTGTTGTCAATAACACTCAGACATCTTTGGGAAAATTGTGCACAAGGGGCTGGTGATGCAGTTAAATGTTTCCAACCTGCACCATCAATATGAGAGCCAGGGGTGCGAGGAGAGACAGGCCAGTCCTCAGGGCGGAAAACAAGTGTTCCTGGGCACTGTCTACACACTCAGCTTCCCCTCCGCCTGAAAAATTCCCGAGTGGGTTTAAAATGCGTACGTTTTAGATCGTTCTGCCGATTAAAAATCCATTTTGCTAGTAACGAACATGTTTTTAAAGCAAAAATTAAATCTCGAATACAAATCCATCACCAGTAGCAGAAGCAAAAACCTTTTATTTATTATTATTTTAAAATATATTTTTATTGATTTCAGAGAGGGATAGAAACATTAATGAGAGAGAATCATTGATTGGCTGCCTCCTGCACATCCCACACTGGGGATCGAGCCCACCACCAGGGCATGTGCCCTGCCTGGGAATTAAGCCGTGACCTCCTGGTTCACAGGTAGACAGACACTCAACCACTGAGCCACGCCAGCCAGGCAGGATTTTATTTTTAAAAGAGCCTGACTTATAATATAAACATGGGTAAAAACTCACTCCTGTCCTGTCTTGTAATGTGAACTGAAAGGTGTAGCATATATCCGTCTATAATGTAAATACCTCCCCAGCCAAGTGCAACGTCCTTAGAGCAAAGCTGGCCTCTGCCCAGCCATGATCCCTCTGAGGCGGCTCCTGGGCTGCCCTGAAAGCTCTTAAACAACAGTTTCACTTGTAAATCCGTGGAAGAAGTGGTTTCCGGGAGAGCTGGAAGTGGCCCGAGACAACTTGTCTCAATGGGGCAAAATAACTATTGTTATGGGGCTTAACAAAATGGCACAGCATGGGAGACCAGCGGAGCCAGGCAGCAGCTGGTTGCAATTCACACTGTTTTTCAGAAAACTCTAATCGGTCCAGAACAGACCTCTTTGATGACTGGTCTTCCCTGCATTCTCCATTTGTCACTTTCTCTTATGATAAGGTCAGTAGTGACAGCACTTCCTGACATTAACAGCTGTGGCTTTTAAAGGGTCATTGTAGAACTACTAATTGCAGTAATTTCATTAGCATAAATTATTTATTCTGCCATTCATTTCTCTCCAGCTTTTTTTTGGGGGGGGGGGATGGGGGGAGGCATGGAGGAGATGGCTGCTGGGGCTGCTGCAGGGATGGCGATGCCATGCTGTGTTTTCCCCTTTTATTTTTTATTTTTATTTTTTAAAAATATATTTTATTGATTTTTTACAGAGAGGAAGGGAGAGGGATAGAGAGTTAGAAACATCGATCAGCTGCCTCCTGCACACCCCCTACTGGGTACATGCCCTTGACCGGAATTGAACCTGGGACCCTTCAGTCCGCAGGCTGACACTCTATCCACTGAGCCAAACCCGTTAGGGCTATTTTTTTATTTTTAATCTTCACCTGAGGATATTTTTTCCATTGGTTTGTCGAGAGAGTGGGAGAGAGAGGGAAAGACAGAGAGAAGCATCAATGTGAGAGAAACTCATCGACTGGTTGCCTTCTGCACATGCTCTGGTCAGGGCCCAGGCCAGGGAGGAGCATGCAACCGAGGTACGTGCCCTTGACCGGAATCAAACCCAGGACCCTTCAATCTGCAGGCCGACGCTCTATCCACTGAGCCAAACCAGCTAGAGCTGTGTTTCCCCTTTTAGACCTGAGAGCTAGGCACATTTGCCCCTGCCACATTTGCCCCTTAATGAAACCAGGGGACCCCATTCTGTAGGTATTTAGCAGGCAATCATGGTGAAGGCAAAAACCACCCATCAAACGGTTATAAATCCAAGATTTCCCCCTCGAAGCAGCTTTGGAAAACAATGCTGCATTTGTGCATAATCAAATGCGAAGCTGAAACTGCTTTTTCCTCACATTAATAAAAAGTGCTTAATTTCCACTCTCACACTTGGCTCACTGTAAACAGAAAAACATACACAACTGCTGCCACACCAAGTACCTCAGCTCCTGACTCTTCAAGCAAAGGCCCCGGATGTCCCTGCTACTGAAAATGACAGACAGCAAAATTCCAACAAAGACCGACACCCGGAGGCCAGAACTAAATGAGACATCGTCCGTGTTATGAAGGGTTTTACACCTTCCCAAGACCAGCGAAGATTATATCGGTCTGTACTTTTACATTAAGACTTTCCAAAGTATTATACTCAAAAGAGAAGGGGCAGATGAAAGAACATTTCCTTTTTAAAGTTTAACTTAGGGAAACTTTGTAGCATATGTCATATACCTACAGTCCATCTCGAAAGTTTTTCTCAAGAATTATTTCTGTTATCTTTTTGCAGCTTTACTGAAATAGAATTGATATGCAAAAGTGCACATATTTAATATCTATATTAATGCTGTAACAATTTCAAACGGCTGAGTTATAAAATTATTTGTACTTTTTAGCCCCTCTTGGGGGCTGGTGAAAGGAGAGAATATCTTCAGTAGATCCTTGTGGTTGTCAGGTTGGTCAATTAAATAAAGGAGATTTAAAAATGCATAACACGGGCAGTAATGCATGTGAGCATCTCTCCTACACTCTTCACGGTGCTAATCCCTCCCAGAGGGATGCAGGGCTCGAACCCTAGAACCTGGATTAGATTCCCAGTTCTGTCAAGTTGGGCAAATTATTGCTTTCCCTATACTTCCTCCTCCTGCCCATAAAATCAAACCTTAAACTGTCATTATTCCTTTTTTACTCTGCTTTTTCCTTTAATCCTCTTTCAGAACAATCAAACACTTGTGCAACAGTCAAGAGCAGGATTTAGGACTACGGGCTCTCGTGTCACAGTGCGGATGGGCCCCTTACCTGCTGAGTGACCCTGTGCTTATGGCCTCCAGCCCCTCACCTGGGCAACAGGGCACAGTGGCCTTCTTAGAAGGTTGCTGATTAGAGGTGGGGAGCAATGCACGGGCAGGGAGGTGATGCTTCTGCTGCTGGTGATGGTGACAGTACACCCACAGCAGTCCCCGCGAGATTATGCAGCCGCAAGTGTTAAATGTAGCACCAGACACAGTTTTCTAAGTCACAATGCTATTTCTTGGGGTTTTCTGTTACCTTGTCTGGTGGATGCACTGTGTTGTTAGTTTGCTCATGCTTTTAATTTTCTGTCTTTTAGAGACCAAGTTTGGGTCAAAGGCAAGATCAAGCCCAGTCAAAGCCAGCAAGCTTCCGGATGAGTTTCCCATCATTGAAAAAAGTAACTTCAGTGGCTCTTGGACAGAACATTAAAACAGAGCAGCGGCTGAGGGCTGAGGACTGAGGCTGTGAGCAGGTGAAACAGAACCCAGCTACCCCTTTGATGGCAAAGAGATGAGGCAAGAGATGGCGCAGCTGGTCCGGTGAGGCCAGCACTAGACGAAAGCCACCAAGCTATAATTTGGAGGTAGTGACGCCTCTACTTGATTTAACTAACCTTTTGGCTTAACAGCATGTCCAGGTGCCTGGGCAGCTATAAAAACTGGACTCTACTTTTGAGATAGATTCCTGAAGTTTATATAACAAAGCCCTGAAAAGCAGCAGTCTACTACTTTTCCCAATTCTCTCTAAATTTGATTCATACACACAGAGCAAGAAATGTCTGGTGGACAGCCTGTCAGTGTGCATGTGTCAGGGAGAGAGAGGGCTGGAGAATGGGGACAGGTATTAAGGCCCACCCGGACCTTCCCCGTGTATTTGAACATAGGCTGAAGCCCGTATGAGACTTAGGCAGTCGCAAGGTAAATTTGGTTGCGTTTGATTTTGTCTTGCTCTTTTAAAATTATGTCAGTATTCCCCACAAACAGGTTATTTTCCCCAAATTCACAGAATTTCTATTGCACAGGGTTATTTTTCTACTTCATAAATCCATATGGGATAATCCTCATTTATATTTCAAAGAGAAAACTGTGCTAAAAATCATCAATAGAAGCACTGCTCACGCACCTGTATTAACCAAATGCCGTTTACTCCTCTTCATGCCTGGCCTAACGTTTATAAAGGAACTTGGAGACATCTGAAGAAACCAGTCTTTAA